CACTTTTTTTTTTCTTCCCTCAACAGAATTTTTTCTCGTTTTTTTGGGAGGGGAGGGTGGGTGTTCGGTATTTTTGTTTCAACCATCTGGCAACCCTACTGGCCAAGGCGTGGCAACCCTGGCCTGCCTCCTCCCTCCCCTGGCCATAGGGTTGCCAGGTGTCTGGAAAAAAAATACCCATACAGTCCAGTATTTTTGCCTCCTGTCCAGTAAAAAATTCAGAAAATACCTACAGTGTCTGTTATTTTCTTTTTTTTTTTTCTTTCCTTGCCAGGAGGCAAAAATACCAGACACCTGGCAACCCTACAACACACTCAGCAAACCAGCCCCAGCCCCTAGCCTGTTCCCTTCCCCTTCCCCCCGACTGCCCACCCAGCTCTCCCACCCCCCAGCTTACCTAGTTCCACAGAGGAGCTGTTTTGTGCCAGGAGCAGAAAAACAAGATGGCCACCAGTAAAAAAAAAAAAGCCTCTTCTTAAAGGGGCCATGCTGGTTTTTTGTGGTGTGGCCTGTTGGGGCAGCTTAACTCCGTGGTGAGCCCGAAGTGCAGAGCAGCCGCTCCAGAGAGGTGGGGAAGCGGCTGGGGGGCAAGACCTGCCCAGCTCATGATGGACCTTAGAGAGCATACCTGAGGCTGGGCTGCACAGAGCCAAGCCATGCAGCAGGAGCATGGGCTAGGCAGGCTGGGGGCAGGGCCCAGAGGCAGGCAGATGCTGCTCCAGGGGGTGCGCGGGGATGGAGTCACCGCCCTCCCCCCTGATTTCACAGAGTGGTCATATGATCAGGGCTCTAGGGAATGCAGAGTGACATGATGATGTCAGTCTGTCATCCCAGAGGAAAAGGTTATTTTATTTATTTTTATATCTACATATAGATATAGATATAAAATAGAGAGAGAGAGAGAGAGAGAGCGCGAGCGCAAGAGCGAGCTGAAAGCTGGCTAAGCATTGTTCTGTTTTCCTTTCCAAGTATTGGATAATACTTTTTCTCTGTGGTGATCTCCATGTATAGGGACACAGGGCCAGCCTTTTCAAGGTGCTCTTTTAGCACTAATTGCTCTCCTTTGCATTTAAAACTGCATAAAAGAAAAGCACTGAGCCCCATAGTGCATGGCCTTTATTGCTCTTTTGCACTGTCCTCTGAGTGGTTGATCTGTCAGGAAAATAAAACAACTGGGGACAGGGCTTCCATTTCTCATGAAAGGCTGAGTTCCATGGAAGTAAAAGCTCTGTTTTTGAAACTTGTCCCATCTATATCCCTCCAGTGTTCTTTTTGTCTCTGGTGTGCGGTGTCTGCCTGGCTAACTAGAAGCTCATACTCCTTCCATTGGCTGTTAAAGCGACACAGAGGAAATTATTTCTATTCAGGCCAATAGTAACTCATGATGCAAATTGTACCAAAACTTCTGCTGCTCAGAGAAAGAATTATACCATGCTAAATAGTTATTGCTTGGACACCTTCGACCATCCTCTTAGCTACTCCTCTCTTCTCAGACGCCACTGTAATAGACAGCTTAGTGAGAAGTGGCTGTGGAATATGAGGGAAGCTACCTTATAGCCATCTTTCTCCTCTGGATGGCTCCCTGCTCCATTTCTGTGGGTTTTCCATGATTTGTCTTTCCCTTACATCATGCATCAGAGTGTATGCCCCCAGTTTTTCATAATGTATTTTTTGAATAAGAAAATAAAAAATGGCTGGTTAATTTTCAGCCATCTGAAAAATTTAAGAACTCTTATGTGATGCACCCCAAAGGCTCTTGTTTAAAGTGGCATATTAAATATGGTAACATATTTTAGTTCCTGAATTCCTACTGTTCAGAACTGCACTCTTCAACTTGCATGCTATTGCTCCTAATAGTTTAGTTTGGATTCTTTTGGCAGTGTTCAGCATGCTCTTTAAGATTCTCAGTGTGAGTGAAGTTGCTGAATATTTCCTTTAGTATCTATGTTTCCTTAGTACATTTTCCTGGAAGTATTTGTCTTTTTGCCTTAGAAATATACCAATGTCCTACATTTCAATCAGGAGGATTGGTTTTTAGTTGTTGAGGCCTAATCTGGCAACTTTTTGGCATCATTTAGTCTCCTACCTATACCTTCAATTATAAAATTGACAAGAAATAGGAAGGAAGGAAGTCGGTTTAGAGTCAAAATAGCTTTCGTTTTGTGTTGTTTTAGCAAATATTGATCAATAAATGCTTTTTTCTTTTTCTGGGTAGGCTTTTATTAGTAAACATCAGTTTGAAAGTTGAAATCGGTAATACTGAATTACACATGATTGAAAAACCCGAAAATTTTAAAAAATCTGTTGTAGAATGAAAGTTTTGTACATTTCCAATGTGCCTAAGATTAATCCCAATATTTTAATGGAATATATGGACAATGTGTTAATGGAAATGTTTCGGAGATCTAGGGTTCTCTTGTCACTGCTGACTGGAGAGAGACACCTGAATAAAATATAATAATGGTCATTTTGACACAATTCCATATTGCGAAAAACATTTGGAAGATGTTGATTTTGTTCCAGTGGAGAATGAAAAGAAATATCAAAACTTCAAAAGTTGTTGCAAAATGAAATTGTCCATTTCTAATTACAAGATCAAATGAGCTGCTGCTTCTTGCCTTAGTTTCACCCAGTTTGAATAAACTCAGTAACATTAATTATTAAGAAACAAACAAAAAGCAAATCAAAGTTTCATTCAGACAGTAGGTACTCTAGAAATACCTTTGACAGACACCCTATAAATCAGATTTAAACAGTCTGTTTATCGCAACCAAACTGGCTTCTCATGGATTCCACACGATCATTAACATTACTACATGGATTCCACACGATCATTAACATTCTTAAATGTCTAAAATACAAACCAATAATATCTCCAATGTGTTGTTGTGTGTAAAAACATTTTTATAGAAAAATATATTCTCATAGTATTCCCTGTGATGTGTCTTGCATTGTGCCCAGAATCCAAAGCTCCTGAATGTGTCAGGACTTTCTCCATCCTTTGACCAATAGAATTTACGCCTATAGAAAAGATACCACATTTTCAAGGAAAAAAATGTATTACAAGAACTATTCAACGTAACTTTTGCTACTGTATGTGTGTAAGTGATTTAAACCTGATCTTTCAAAACATCATCTCCAAATCAATAATATGGATTATATCTGTTGCTATAGGTGAAAGTAAGGAAGAGAGGACATTCCGGAATTGGATGAATTCTTTGGGTGTAAACCCATATATTAACCACTTATACAGGTAAAACTTTGAGTTCTGATTTTTATTCAGTTATTTATTTAGATCAGCTCTTATAGATGCAATAAAATAGACATTATGTCCCACAGGAAAAACCCACAAAAATAATATCCAGAAAGTGAAGCTGCATTTCCAACAGAACTATAAATAGGAAAAAAAGCATTATTTCATATTTTTCAAATACGAAATTAGTTTGCCAGTAGGGCACTGGCTAGTCTAAACACTTTGTTTAGGTATAACCTAAAACCTGATATGGAATATCAGAAGTAAAGAATGGGGTAAGTGATAATTGTTCTGAGGGAAAAGGGTTTCATACAACACAATGATATTTCTGTTTGTGTGGCAAGTAAACCGTGTTATCATAATTAGTATTATTTATTAAATAAGTGTGTGTGTCACACATGTCAGGAAATTTACATCCAACTCGGACACTTTTCTCTGGTCCCCTGGCATAAACAGCTATTGTGGAGTGGATGAGAATACGGTGCTATGATGATAAAAGAGTGGTTGTTTCCAGCACCTCAGATCTGGTAGTAGCTCCAGAAGGAATCCTCATAATCATCGTCATTGTCATGTTCCCATTACACCTTTGGTGTTTGGGGCAGTGACACAGCTTCTCCATTCCTGTCTTTTTCTGGCAGGTCTTTCAATGGCTTTCCAGGTTTTTCAGCTCACTTTCAATAGCTCTTCATGTTGTGTTCAGGTGGCCTCATTTTGGCTTGCCTTTACTTGTCCATCTTATTGCTACTCTGGTGCTGAAATCAGTTTCCATCAGCGGCCTGGGGAAGTCGGGCTGCCACGCTGTGGAACCAGTCTTCCTCAGCGGCAGCTCTAACCTCAGGCAGTGGAGCATGTAGGCAGTTTTGGGAAGGCTGTGTCTTCCCCTGCCTACATCACCAACTGCCCATGGACTTCACTCCTCTGTTGATAAATTGTCCTTTTCTTGATTATCAGCTGCTCTGCATTCCCCACCTCTTCATCAAGGTATTCAAGTACTTAAAGTTGTCTTTTTAACTGCAGAACAAAGCCTTTCTTCTTTTCAGGGGACTTTAGCTTGTCAATGTCATAACATTAATCTCCCTTTTTTGGTGGTGCCACACTTCTCAGTTTTAGCTTGATGGAGACTGTTACAAATGGTGGTTGCTGCCAATATTTGCACTATTCACTTCCACATCTGTCAGTGAGCATTGCCATTTGCCTTTAATCATTGTGATCAATTTGGTTCTTATCGCTGCCATTTGAAAAGTACCATGTCAACTTGTGAATTTCATGATACTGAAACAGGGTTCCACTGATAAGTAGATCACTATATTTTTTTAAAATTGTGCTGTTCAGACAGTTTATATCTAAAAATAAAGTAAATGTTGATAAAAACCTGATTCCGTTTTCATGCTACTAGGATGCTTTGGACCATTTTATTTTATAACTCTTATAAATTGAGGTTGTCTATAGTGTGTTTTAAAATGGAAAACACCTACCACTAATGAGTAATTTCCCAATGTAGGTCTGTTTAAAAAAATAAGAATGCTACTTGCAATGTAGAAAATAATTGTTTTTTTTTTAACTCTTCTTACTCAGACGGATGCGCTGTTTTTATTTAATCTTTCTAACTATGTTCACCTATAGACTAGGAATGTTAAAATGTGTTTATCTAGGTAATGTGTAACTGCTGAAAATGTCAGCAGTTATACGTTTACATGCAAGGGGAGGAGAGACTGAGCCAACTTTTAAGCTGGCTCCCTGTGCATACCAGCTTCCACGGAGCCGCCTCCCTTCTCCCCACTGCTGCCTCCAGTCTGTAAATTTTCAGAGGTCTCATTCTTGTTAAATACTTAAAAATCACTCTTCATTGTTTTTCTGCTGTTTTGATCTAGTGACCTTGCTGATGCTTTAGTGATCTTCCAGCTGTATGAAATGATTCGTGTTCCCGTAGAATGGAGCCATGTCAACAAACCTCCATATCCTGCACTTGGTGGCAACATGAAAAAAGTAAACACTTTGTGGTGCATTCCAGTTACAATGGACACCTACTACTGTATTATATTGTATCATCTTGAATTGTGTTAGCTAGTGACTCTGGACTGTTGGCTCTGTTAAGCTGGCCACATGTTTTAGGTTTACCGAGACAATCCTGCCAAAAGTACTCTGGGATATTTTCCCAAGGAAGGAGTATTGATATCTTCTTGGGGTGCAAGGAGGGCCACGCAGGGGAACAGGGAGGATGCATGAGGGGGCACTCCATTTAGCAATCAAAATTTTGGTAGGAGAATAGGGGAGCAGTGCACCTCCTGGGTGCTACCATGAGACACCTATAATGCTAAATATAAAACAGACTCATTCTGATTGCTTAGGATTCATATTCATAGATTTTTTTTTAAGATAGAAAGGACTATTATGATTGGAGAATGGTGACGTGAACTCCATTTTACAATTTTAAAATTTTGACAATTTTAGGTTACAACACAGGATGAATTCACTTAGATTGATTTATAACAAAAACATTTCTTTTATATTTTAGAATTTTAGCATCTCTAATTAAGATCTTACATTTTGGAATGATTTCCATAATCTCTCTCCCCAAGTTCCTAAGGCTGGAACTGTCTTTTCCTTTTTTTCCTCTATCATCTAAATTCAGCTTTGGTATATGAAAGTGCAACTTCATTGGCTTCAGTGGAGATGCAGCAGGTTATACCAGGTGTCACTTTGGGTGCATCTACATTGTCTCTGCACTTTGGGTGCACTGTAGGTTGAAATAAGATGCACAATTTAAGCTATGCAAATTGCGTAGCTTATTTCAAAGTTATTTTGAAATTTGAAATTTGGCGCTGTCTACACAGCACTTATTTCAAAATAAATTGCTATTCCAAAACGTCCCTTACTACTCATGGAATGAGGTTTATAGGGATGTTGAAATATCAAGCCCATTATATTTTGAAATAATGGGAGCAGTCAAAGGATGCAGAATAGCTATTTTGGGCTCGTCTAGACTACATCCCTCTTTCGAAAGTGCAAATTAGGAAAATCGAATTAGTAAATTAGGCAAATCGAAAGCGCAAATTAAGCAGGGATTTCAATATCCTGCGCTTTATTTGCATAATGGCATCTGAGCACTTTTTCGAAAAAGGGTTTTTCAAAAGTGAAAGCGCCATCTAGACACGGTTCTTTTGGAGGAAAAAACCCTTTCAGAAAAAATGAGTACGGGATCTTTCGAAATCTAGACATAGCCTTTGTGCTGCAGTATAGGCGTAACCTTTGATTTCATGTTCTGAGCTCTGTCAGACAGAGAATGCCAATACAATGTTTTCATTTATTCAACTAGGAATAAGATTTGTTAAGAGAATCTTATATATTTGTATTTTGATCTTCAAAAAGTTGTTTTGAAAGAGTTAATAGACCTTTCATGGTCCCCAGTCTCAGCATGGGTAACATTGGGACAAGATAGCTCAAAATATTTTTAATCCTATATGTGATGTTTACATTTTATAGGCATAAAAAATATTAACATTTAATTTTTAGATTGAGAATTGTAATTATGCAGTGGAACTTGGGAAGACAAAGGCCAAATTCTCCCTGGTTGGCATTGCTGGACAGGATCTAAATGATGGCAATCCAACTTTGACCTTGGCATTGGTGTGGCAGCTGATGAGAAGGTGAGGAATTTTTACAAATTCATGCAGAGCATAATGGTATCCATACAAAACTATGACTAGTTGTTCAGTTTTTTGCATCCAAATGGAAAATTTTGTTAATAAGAGAGAGGTGGGAAACTTTTTTTGAGTTGGGAGTCTCTGACCCACAGAAAAATCAGGCTCCCATAGGGAAGCAGCAAGGGGTTCGGATCCAGGTCGGATCTGAGGTTCCCCATCTCTGGTCTTAGTGCTAAATTCCCCTCTCTGCAGTGAAGACTGAAATATTTGGACTAGAAATCATAGAAATATATAGTATGCTGCAGTGAAATACTCATGATTACTTTGTGAGAGTAAATGCTTCTGGAAGTATGAGACATAGTTATCTGCCTTCTATTTATGGCTGAAACCTAGCCTTTTGTATGGTATATAATATAATCAAGACCTATTTTACTAACACCAAATTAAAAAAATAATTTTGTGGATTAAAGCGGGATCTTAATAATTTCCGTTGATCTGGAAGCGCCACGGTTCGGCCCGGGTCCTCTGCCGCTTTGCTCCACATCTCCCTGGTCTTCTGGGGGGGGGGAAGAGGAGCCAGATCAGTGCCGTGGTCCCGCCCGGGTCCTCCTCCGCTTTGCTCAGTGTCTCCCTGGACTGCAGACCAGGGAGACGCTGAGCAAAGCGGAGGAGGACCCGGGTGGGATCGCGGCGCTTCCAGATCAGCACCGCGGTCCCGCCCGGGTCCTCCATGGCTTTGCTCAGCGTCTCCCTGGTCTGCTCGGGGGGGACG